TGAAGGAGGCGCTGGCTAGCTGGAAGGGTCCGGCGGTGAAGGCCGCCATGGAGGAGGAGATCCGCAGCCTCATCGGCATGGGGACGTGGGAGCTGGTCGAACGCCCACCCGGGGTCAACATCATGAAGAACCGGTGGGTGTTGACGACGAAGTACCACATCGACGACACCGTCGAGCGCGAGAAGGCGAGGCTGGTTGTGAAGGGCTTCACGCAGGTGTATGGCACCGACTACGACGAGACGTACGCGCCAGTGAGCAGCTACGTCACGCTGCGGATTTTCCTCAGCATCGTCGTCGTCCTCGACCTCAACCTGATGCAGCTCGACATGAAGAATGCCAACCTGCAGAGCAAGCTCGACCGCGTGCTGTACATGTACCAGCCGGACTACTTCAATGACGGGACCGGCCGGGTGTGCAAGCTACTGAAGAGCCTCTACGGGCTGAAGCAGTCGCCGCTGCTGTGGTACAAGGCTCTCAACGACGTGCTGGTCGGTGCTGGCTGGAAGAAGAGCCAGGTCGACGAGGCCCTCTACTTCAAGGTCGGCGACAACAAGGTGACCTGCTGGGTGCTGGTCTACGTCGACGACCTGCTCGCCGCCAGCAGCAGCCCCGCGATGCTGAAAGAGCTGAAGGAGCTGCTGGAGGCCGCCTTCGAGCTGCGCGAGATCTCGCCGGTGCAGAAGTACCTTGGGCTGGAGATCGTGCACGACAGGTCGGCGAGGAAGCTGTGGCTGCACCAGCAGGGCTATGCCGACAAGCTGCGTAGGCGCTTCCTCGACCAGGAGCAGACCGGGCGCACCCCGAAGACGCCGGTTTCGATCGATGCCTGCGCCAAGCTCACCTTCGACGACGAGGAGGCTCAGGAGCGCCAGGAGGAGGAGTACCGGCAGAAGGTCGGCTCGCTGCAGTTCGCGGCGACGACGACGAGGCCGGATATCGCCTTCGCCTGCAGCAAGCTGGGGAGCGGCCTCACGGTGAGGAGTGACCAGCACTGGCGCGAGGTCGACCGCTGCCTCGCCTACCTCGCCAACACGCGTGACACCGCCCTGGAGTTCGGCGGTGGACCTGAGTCGCTGAAGCTGGTCGGCTACGTGGACGCCGACGATGCCGGCGACAAGCAGAGCCGGACGAGCACGGGCGGCTACGTGTTTGTCTACGGAGGAGCCGCGGTCTCCTGGTCGAGCCAGCGCATCAAGTGCGCGACGCTGTCGTCGACCGAGTTGGAGTACGTGGCGGCCGTCGAAGCCGGCAAGGAGGGACGCCGACTTCGCTTCCTCCTGGCAGAGTTCCGGCAACTGGATGCCGGGAAGCCGACTGTTCTCCGGTTGGACAACAAGTCGGCCATCACAGTCGCTGAGGGCATGGGGTTGACGGGCAACCTCAAGCACATGGAGCGGCGACAGGCCTGGCTGCAGCACATGGTGAAGTGGGGGAAGTTTTCACTGCAGTACATCCCGGCCGCTGAGCAGCCGGCCGACTTCCTGACGAAGGCGCTGCACTATCCGGCCTTCAACCGGTGCTCCGTTGCAATCGGCCAAGTGCGTCTGGCCGACGTGGGCGACGACGACGTGCAGCAGTAGGTGCCATGCCCTCTTGCATGGCTGGTGCGGTGGACGACGTGCTGTGTGTTGGGTGCACGTCGACGAGCTTTTCTCCGAGAAGTACTGCCGTGTGGGCTGGGGGCCCAAGCGTGAACGCGGCAGGGGAGTGTCAACGGGAGTTGTGTGTTGGCCCCGTCCTCGCTTGGGCGGAGCCGACTTCGTGGTCGGGTGTAGGGGTGCAGCCGACCTGCAGCAGTGGGCGAGCTGGTCAACGAGGAAGTCGACCTGCACGGGTGCCACTGCATGGGCGCCGACTTCAGGATGGCGCCGACGTCAGGAAGGTCGACCTGGGAAGTCGACCTGCGGAGGGCGTCGACTTGGTGACGCCAACTTGGGGTAGCCGACTTGGGTGGTCGGCTGACAGAACTTCTGGTCGACCTGGTTGGTCGACCAGGCCTTCTGGTCGACCTGGTTGGTCGACCAAGCCTTCTGGTCGACCTGGTAAGTCGACCAGGCATTTTGGTCGACCTGGTTGGTCGACCAAGCCTTCTGGTCGACCTGGTAAGTCGACCAGGCCTCCTTGTCGACCTGGTTGGTCGACCAAGCCTTCTGGTCGACCTGGTAAGTCGACCAGGCCTTCTGGTCGACCTGGTAAGTCGACCAGGCCTTCTGGTCGACTTGGTGGTTGGTCGACCAGGCGTGAAGTCGACCTGGTGGTCGACCGAACATAGTGGTCGACCTGGGGAGGTCGACTGGAGGTGGCCGTCGACTTGGGAGGTCGACTGGCACATACAGGAGCAGCTGGTCAACGTGGTTGCCCGGTCGACCAGGTTATCTGGGTGACGAGGTTCTGCGAAGGCACGCGACGGTCGCTCAGGCGATGTTGGCGAGGACGATCTCGGTGGTGGTATCCCGAGGTCAACGTGGCTGATCAGAATCAGTCGTCAGCACGAAGTTGACTTGGTGTATGCGTTGTGCAGGTGACGAGGCACTACACGCCAATCATCTGCGAGCACCTGCGAAGCGGGTGCGCTGCTGTCCTGCGGGAGCAGCGTTGGCACGCCGTCAACCTGCGATGTTGGCACGCCGTCGACTTGCAGCACTGGCAAGCCGCGCCTCTGCACTGCTGGAGCGCGGTCGACCAAGTCGTGCTGGCACGCGGTCGACCGTGCTGCGCTGGCAGAAGACTTGCTTGCATGCTAGCTCTGATGTAGTCTAGTCTTGCCAACTTCATTGTACCATTTTTTTGTTATCAACCTTTCCTAGTGAAACTCTTGCCAATTCTCCCTGTGAACTAGCAAGTAGTGTGAGCACTTGGAAACGACTAAGGAACAAGTGAACACAGAGATCACACGAGCACCCGTGCCTAGTCTGTAGTCCAGCTCCCGTTGTAGTAGTTATCTCCTCATTGCTGACATGCTCGATCATCAACACCACGTACTTGCGCCCTCGCTTAGTCAGCGGCAGCTTTCCCGCCAGATTTAGAGACCACCGGTACTCCAATCCCAAGATCGCCAGCTGTTGCAGCTCTGCCTAACTCCTCTCAAATGCAGCTCGGTTCCTGATGCGCGCGGAACACCTTGACACCCAATCCTTCACCTCCCTCCTCATGCCTGCCCACCCCCATCCTGTCTGAAGTAGTTGCTGTGTCCTGAGCGGTCCATAATGTCCGAGTCAGTTACGTACCTCCTGGATGATTCCATCCTGTTCCTTTGGTTCCGGCACCCTTATCCATCCGTCCTTGGTCCTGATCTGTACTTGCTCCTGATACCACCTGTAATGCTGTCCCCTACTTCACGCCCTCGCCGAGACGACTGCCCCTTCCACCGATCCTCCTCACAGCCACACCGAGGTCTCCTGATCCTCTCATACATCCACTGCTCTAGCCTGCTGCTCCCTCCTGAGCAGCGTGAGTGGGTCTGGCATCATCGCCATCAATGCCATCTCGGGTGCAATCGTCGGCGGGTTCCTGGATAGACTAACCACATGTTGCATGGTCTTCCCCAACGGATGGCGGATGAAGAACTGATACTCTTACAGCTTCATGGCACAGCGTGCATTACGGCCTGCTAGTGATTGATTCTATATGAGCCAAGGCAAGGGCTGGTGGTCCGTCACGAGTGTAAACGAGCGGCCTTGCAGGTAGACCCTGAAGTGTCCGACTGCCCATACTGGCGCCAGCCCCTCTCCTTCATAGGACGAATAGTTGGCCTCTGCAGCGTTGCAGGACCAACTAACAAACGCCACTACCTTCTCCTCCCTCCCTCTTGCTGCCTGAGGATGGCTCCCATCCCCGCACTCCTCCAATCGGTGTACAATACGAACAGCACATCCACGCGCGACAGCTGCAACACCGCTCCTTTCACCGCCCCTAGAAGATCCAGCAGTGCCGCTTTCTGTGGCTCGCCCCATTGCCACTTTTGATCATCCTGCGGCAACTTGTTCAGCGGGGTTGCTCGCTTGGTGAAGTTCTCCACGAACTTTCGTAACGCACTCTTGTCCGTGGGTGGCCTCACGCGGTCCAGCACGTCCACCTTGGCCTTCTAAATGGCCAGCCTTCCCCCTGACACTTCAAACTCTAGGTAGGTAACCGTGAGATGTCCAAACCTGCACTGTTTGGGTTGGCAGGTCAATCCTACCGCCTTGATCCTCCTCAACGTCTCAGCCAGCCGCTCCACATGCTCTTCTGCCATCGCGCTGAACACGATGACGTCGTCAATGTAACAAAGGGCTTCCTTCATCCCCCTCAGCACCGCATCTATGACCCACTGGAATAGGAGCAAGGCATTCTTCAATCCGAACGGCATCCGATTTCACTCGTACTCCCCATCCGGCCCATGAAAAGTTGTCTTGGCCTTGTCCTCCTCGACTATAGAAATTTGGTTAAATCCCTACCGCATATCCAAGGTGGAGAACTCCTTTGCCTTTGCCAACTGGTCGAAGATCTCATCCACCATGGTCGTCGAGTATCGCTCCGGCACCGTGATTTTGTTCAGGTCTCGGTAGTCCCCGCACATCCTCCTTAAAAGCACCGTTCCGGTGAGATCCATCCTCATCGCCACCACTGTGACTCCTTCGTAGCTTGACTCTCATCGCCGGTTCGGTGGTCGTTAGGTTCGGTGTCATCGTCGCGCAGTTGCAGCATCCCAGCTCTTTGAGTTCACAGACGAATGTGTCCCGATGTCTCGCCAGCAAGATCTCCACAATCTCTCTCTGTTTCCCCTGCAGTCCTTCCTCTATTTCCCAAGCTGGTTGTTGCTCCTCTCGCTTGGGCTCATTCTTCCCCCTGTTTGCCGCTCGTCCCGCCTCCTCTCGCTCTCTTGCCTTTCCTTCCCTTACTGGCGCAGTTCCTGCCCCAGGCGTCACATCGAACGCCATGAACACAACTCCTATGGGTGGCCAGTAAGGCGGGTCGAAAAATTCTCCTTCCATATCGAAGTCCGACTCATCGAATTCCTCTTACGTATCCCCTCCTCCTTCCTCTTCGCTCCCCGCCACTTCCATCCCCTCCTCCTCCTCCTCCTCCTCCTCCTCCTCCTCCTCCTCCTCCTCCTCCTCCTCCTCCTCCTCCTCCTCCTCCTCCTCCTCCTCCTCTTCCTCTTCCTCGCTCTCTTGTGGGTCCGCATACCTCCCTTGAATGCACGCCCTGTCATCCCTCCAACTGGCGTGCCTCTTCTCTTCTAGGATTCCCTGCCACAACTGATTTTCTTCCTTCTCCTGTAGTCCCCCAAGCATCGTCTACGCCTCCATTTGCATGTTCGCCACCAGCTGCGTCTGCGGCCTGCTTAGTGTCGCTTTGCCAATGCGACGTTCCAGCCACTTCCTCTCCAGATGGTTGTACATAACCGTAAACGGCCAGTCCAGGGCGTTGAGGTCCAATGCCCTGCCCAGCACCGCCTTCTAATCCTTCTCGATCATTTGTGGGCATGCCGTAGCCCCTACCATGAATCCCATAGCCAGTTCTCGCTCTTGTGCAATCAGTTCCTCCCATTCTCCCCTTGTCTGGTCGTACACCAATCTCTGGGCCAGCCACCCCCTCCATTTCTATGAATCCTCTTGCTCTCTCGTGTGACACCAACGTGGGCCAAGCCTGACGTGGTTCCCCCACCTTATTACAAGAGTTCTAAGTCGGATGATCAGGTTGTGTCACTGGGGCCGCTAGCCTCCCTGGGCCTCTCCATTCGGGATAGCTGATACCGCAGCGATGCCTCAGGCACCACATTTTGCCAATATTTCCTGGGTCGGTAGGCTCTGCTCCCAGGCCACACCTGCCCCCAGCTCCGCCGTAATCTCGTCGTTGGTAGTCAGCCATGTCGACGTTCTCCATGATGTAGGCCACTTCCCCTTGCCTCTTCTTTATCGATTTCAGCACGCTCACCAACTCGCGGAATCGCCCGCTCCGCTCGTCAACAATCCCTCTCCCCTTTCTTGCCCGCGAGTAGCCTTGACAGCCCCAAAATGCGATCACCAGGTCGATCTTCCCCCACTGTGAGATGAGCACGTCGTCTATCTCCTTCACTCCTCTATACTACCACTCCGCCCCCCTCTCTGCCGCCCCTTCCATAAGCTGCTCGTGATACCTTGCTTTCAGGAGCATGATATGTTGTGACGCCATCAGATTCGTGTGGTCGTCATTAACCACGTACATGTAGGTGCAAACTGTCCGCCCTGCCTCAGGACTGCTGCCAGGCCCGTTGTTATCCCACCGTATAGCTCTAGCAAGACCAAGGCTTCTGGAATGTCTGCAGGTTCAACTGCGGTTCCTTCAGGTTGTCACTCGCTCCCCATATTTCCTCGTACTTCTTCCTTGCGGCTACCGTCTGATCCATCTCGTGGTTCTCGTCGTCGTCGTCGTCGGGATCATGGTCGAGGGCTGGTGCCGCTGCCTCATCTTTTGGAGAGGCGAAGCTCCATCCATTGTTGGCGTAAGCTCGGGTGGCTCCTGCATGCTGATCTGCCATCCACTCCTCCAGGGTGAGTCGCTTGTAGAAGAGGATGTCCCACGCAGATGTCCAGAATCAGCTAGCCCTTGTATTTATAATTGAGTCCCAGATGAACTCCCTATTGCGCGCGTTCTGTGATTATGCCAATGGTAGCAGATGCCAACCTGTATTGCACCATGCACCCCCAGACCCTCAGCATGGAGGTGTCTCCCCTTGCCCTGTTCCACTTCATGTATGGTGAGAGTTTGCCCCTGTTCGCTGTGGTAGACAGAAGGCTGTGAAGCTGCATGGCGTGATTCATGGCGTACGGCTAGTAGTTTTTGGATGCCAGACTGATTCATGAGGGCGCGGACCTTCGTCATGAAAGCGCGGTCGACTCTCTCAGCGACTACTTGTTCCTGGTGGGCATAGGTGAGTGAAATGTGGTGTTTGATCCCCTTTTTGGTAAGGAAGCTCTGCAGCTCGTTGCTGCAGATTTTCTTGGCACCGTCGATCTGCCAAATCTTCAGCTTCTTCCCCGATCCCCATTGAGCATGTGCCAGCCAGATGCAGAAAACTTCTGGAGCCTTGGAGCGAAGGTCAACGTTAGCAACCTAGACATGGCGTGAGTACGCGTTGATGAAGGTAAGGGTGTTGATCTCGTCGTTGACGCCTCCGTAAGTTATCACAATAAAGTCGTTGTAGACTTTATGCACCTTCTTGTAGCTGTTGGTGCTTGGTTCCAGTGAGGGGTAAGCTTGGTGTATGAGGTCAGCGGTGGGGCAGATGGTGTAGGTTTGAGGTTCCGTGCCGTCGGGGCGCGGCAGTGCTCCTGGCAGGAAACCTTTGGCAGTGAGGGAGTTGTTGAATGTCTGGCGTGAGGGTTGGCCGAGTCGCTGGTGCCAGAGGTCATCTTCTACGCGGAACCTGGGGGTACGTAGGTATCATGCTTGAAATGCGGCTGATTCTGATTCGGTTCCATAAAGGATGCTGAGCACATGCCCTTATTCTTCTCCTGGTTCTGCCTCTTCTTCCTCCTCTGTTTCTGGTTCTGCTGCTGTTGTTTCTCTTTCTCCTTCTGGAGGCGTGGCTGTTAGATAAAGTGAGAGGAAGTTGCGGTCGGGGATGATGTTGCAACATTCTCGAGTGGAAACTAGATCCTGTGACAGCCGCGTTCAATCTCGAACCAGGTAGATTCCCTGATGTAAGGTGAGGTAGTCAGTGACGGTGGGTTGGGCAAAGGTCGCCCGAGGGGAACTACAACTCTTGGTGGGGTCCGCGCAGTGGCGATTTCTTTCTCTGCCTCCTCTAGTTCTTCGTGGGTGAGCTTCCCTTGATCACCCCCCAAGCTCCGACGTTGCTCCAGCCTCCTCCGCCGGTGCCTCCGCCAGTGCCGAAGCCGGTTAGTTGAGATTTTTTTCTTCTTCACGCTATCCCAACGGAACTTGTCGCTGATCATGATGGTGAGGCGGGATTTTCCGCGGCTGTATTGGTAACTCCCAGTCCTGTCGCTTCTCATCCACATAGTAGTAGTGGTTGTCTGTGAGGGGATTGTTTTACCCCCGTTCAAGTTGAATTATTTATTCTGCGGGCACTTCGTCTTCGTCAGACGTAGTAGCTCGTGGACTTCAGCGTGTTGCCATGTTTGCCATTATGTTTCTTGTTCCTCCTGTTTGAGATGCTTGTCCCTGCTGGTGTTGCTGCTGATGAGCAGGTGGACGAGAAGCTTGATGTTGAGGCTGGAACTGACGAGTGTCTTGTCGACCGACCCAGTAGTTTTGTTGAGTGGAATTTGGGTGGCGATTGTTGGACTGATATTTGCATCTGTCTGTTGAGTATCCGAAGAATTTTCAAAATTTGCAATAGCAGCGCCATGGTTGTCGTCGCTATTCACGATTGCCGGTGTAGAAGGCGACGCTCTTGGCGCGGCACTGAGCCGGTCTTGCTCGAGTTCATGTCTTGTTGTTCAGTGAGGAGTACGGCGCATAGAACAGCTTCCGAGATTATCCGCCTCTGTCGAGGTAGCGCCTTGTAGGGCTTCCACTCACGCGTGAGTCCTTGGAGCACGATGTTGATGAAGATTTTCTCCGAGATCGCGCTTCCGTGCTTCATGATTTGATCACGAATATTTCAAAAGTGATTAATATATGAATTCGCTTTCTCACTGTGCCCCATTTTGGTTTCCATGAGTTGCTGCAGAAGCATGCTTGAGGTGATTGTGTCTTTCGGCTGATATACCTCAACGGGGTGCTTCCAGGTTCCAAATGCTGGAGCATTGCTCTCATTGTAGGAGCGAATGCCGAGTTGCTCAGTAGCACATTGTACGCCATAAGGTTCTCGCCATAGTAATGAGCATGGGCGTCTTCGGTGTCTTCCACTGTTTTAGAATAGGAGCCGTCATCATGATCTCCCTTTCCCCCCTCACCTGCGCACAGCCCGCGCCGTCCGTGTGGCACTGCTCGGGCGAGCCTGCCTCGCCTCCCCTCCCCGCTGCTCCCCTTGCCGCACTCCTTGTTGCTGCTTCTGCTGGCACTGCTGGCGGTGCCACTGCCGGTGGTGCCATTGCCGATGGTGCCACTGCCGGTGGTGCCATTGCCGGTGGTGCCACTGCCGGTGGTGCCACTACCGGTGGTAGCACTGCTAGTGGTACCCCTACGAGCGGTACCAGTGGCATTGGTTTCTCTGCTCCGGTGGTGGCCTCTAGGAGCAGCAACATTGGCGCGCTGTTTCAATCCAAGGCGTTCTACGCTGGTGAGTAGAGTGGCCGTAACATGTGGTGACCTGACGTGGAGAGTGGGGGTAGAGTGTGCTAAGGTGTGGAAAACGTGGGGAACAAGGATGCGGAAATCAGACGCTTCGCACGTGCTCGCAGATGATTGGCGTGCAGTGCCTCGTCACCTGCACAGTGCACACACCAAGTCCACTTCGTGCTGACGACAGCTGCTGATCAGCCACGTCGACCTCGGGATACCACCACCGAGGTCGTCCTCGCCAAAATCACCTGGGCGAACGTCGCATGCCTCCGCAGAACCTCGTCACCCAGGTAACCTGGTCGACCGAGCAACCAGGTCGACCAGATGCTCCTGTGCGTGCCCGTCGACCACGCAGGTCGACGACCACTTCCAATCGACCTCACCAGGTCGACCACTGCCTCTGGTATGTGCCGGTCGACCTCCCAAGTCGACGGCCACCTCCAGTCGACCTCCCCAGGTCGACCACTACCCCCTGGTCGACCAGCTCCAAGTCGACGTCACTCCAGGTCGACCAGAAGGTCTGGCTGACTTCCCACGTCGACCAGAAGGGCTGGTCGACTTACCAGGTCGACCAGAAGGGCTGGTCGACTTACCAGGTCGACCAGAAGGTCTGGTCGACTTCCCAGGTCGACCACCCGAAGTTGGCGCCCTCCCGAAGTCGGCGCCCATGCAGTGGCTCCCCGTGCAGGTCGACCAACCTCGTCGACCAACTCGCCCACTGCTGCAGGTCGGCTGCACCCTACACCCGACCACGAAGTCGGCACCGCCCAAGCGAGGACGGGGCCAACATACAACTCCCGTTGACACTCCCCTGCCGCGTTCATGCTTGGGCCCCCAGCCCACACGACAGTACTTCTCGGAGACAAGCTCGTCGACGTGCACCCAACCCACAGCACGTTGTCCACCGCACCAGCCATGCAAGAGGGCATGGCACCTACTGCTGCACGTTGTCGTCGCCGTCGCCCACGTCGGCCAGACGCACTTGGCCGATTGCAACGGAGCACCGGTTGAAGGCCGGATAGTGCAGCGCCTTCGTCAAGAAGTCGGCCGGCTGCTCAGC